GTTTAGATTCAACACAAACGTAAGGGGCAACACTCAGAAAGCGGAGACAAAATATAGCAGAACGAACTACAGACACAACTTCTTCTCCTTAAGAGTTGTCAAATGCTACATTTCCCTAACACAAACGACTTCACAGGAGTTATAAAAAAAGCGACTTGACCTAATCTTAAGCACAAAAAATAATATCTTACTATGATTTACCGATTTCTTTCTTTCCCTCCTTTATCGTTAACATACCTAGGTTCCTAACTAGAGGTATTTTTGATTCACTTTTAGTAGACACGGAAGCCCGTTATGCGAAAGCTTCTTCAATTCTGTCCACAACCACTTGATGCTTCTTGTCTTTAAATATACATGTGTGAATACCAGGTGTATTAGTGTACCCTCTACCGTTGGATAAGGGAACTAACTAAACAAATGCCTCTACTATTCTCGCCGCAATCAATTGAAACAACTACTACGATAATACAGTGAAACGTTTTGAGGCGGTCACGTAAAAACACAAGGTCATCCGGACGGTTGTTTGTTCTCCAAAGATAATGACTGCGAAAGAAACTGAGGATGAAGTAAGTATGGTTGCATCTGTCATCCAGATAAGCATTCGTCAGTAATTGTTTTTTACATTAAATGTTGAATTTTAGCTGGACCGAAAGCAACGCTGCGATTTGAAGTAAGCTAACGTTCTCCCGATTTCGAGGAAAATTTTGTTCAGTTTTGAGGAATTTCCGAGAAAACCCCAAAATAGGGAGAATGTATGTGTTTGTCTAGCTAAACTGAAGCTAAAAATGTCATTGTTGATTTTATTTATGAGTGTGAAATGTGAACTGGATGATTATAGTCTTGTTCATGCATCTAACTTGAAACGTGCGCATCACGTATTTTTCCTTATGACAATTACGACTGTAGTAACTCACATCGAATTCCACGATCTTTGCGAATTTCGTGTGTAGAAAACAAAGACTTGGTGTAGGCTTCAGTATTTTTTAATGGAAAGGACGGGGATTTGATAAATCACGTCACATATTCATACATCAGCTAGCTTTGTCTCCAGATCATGTTTCTAAAAATTGTAAATGCTATGCTGAGCGTAGAACCGTTTAGTTGTAACACACATGAGAAGCTTAGTACAATGGCACCAATAATCGCGTTACACAAGAATACAACGTACACTTGCAATGTTCGGATTTACTTTATCGATTGGATCTACACTTTTTGTACAAATACTGTGTTATGGCTTCCGTCTCTGTCGATTATCATATGACAAAATCGCCAGTCAGAATATCGATTTCTATGACCCTGATTCAACTATGAATCCTTATTGGTCCCTAATATAGTAAGTCCTTGCCTGACCCATCCTGTTCAATCCAAAACACATATATAATCCTTCACTGTATGAATTGTATATTTCAGACATACTTAGTTTTATACATGCCTCCAAATGCACTGGTACGGCCGAGAGTGGGGAGAATTCACTCTCTCTCTCTCTCTCGAAATGATCTCACATGACCACGCGTATATAGCCTCTGCCAGGGAAGTTCTACTCACTGCATTCTCGCACGAGTGTTGTTTACGAAATCGAGAGAATGAAAAGCTAATGTTCGGCGCTTTAACCGGGTTGGTGTTAAAATAAAATAAATAAATACATAAAATAATTTTATTTATCTGATACACAATTGTAATCTACAAAAAGAATTTTCTTCATTATGCATATTTTCAGATTGGGAAACAACTCATAACTGTACTCACGAATTATTATGTGGTGTTCATTCAACTGAAGTGATTAAACATTCCATTGAAAATCTATTCAACAAGTTTTTACTTTCGAAATCTGACAATTCAAGTATACTTACTTACGCCTGTTACTCCTTGTGAAGGAGCATAGGCCGCTCACCAGCATTCTCCATCCAACCCTGTCCTGGACAATCCTTTCTAGCTCCGTCCATTTGTAATTCATCGTTTTCATATCTGCTTCTATTATCCGACGCAATGTGTTCTTTGGCCTTCCTCTTTTTCTCTTCCCTTCAGGATTCCATGCTAGGGCTTGCCTCGTGATGCAGTTTGACGATTTGCGTAATGTATGTCCTATCCATTTCCACCATCTTTTCCTAATTTCTTCTTCAGCTGGAAGTTGGTTTGTTCTCTCCCACAGAAGGCTATTGCTTATGGTATCCGGCCAATGGATGTTGAGTATCTTGCGTAGACAGCTATTTATAAATACTTGTACTTTCTTGATTGTGGTTGTTTTAGTTCTCCAAGTTTCAGCTCCATACAGTAGAACTGCCTTGACGTTGGTATTGAAGATTCTCACTTTGATATTGGTTGAAAGTTGTTTTGAGTTCCATATGATCTTTAACTGTAGGAATGCTGTCCTTGCTTTGCCAATCCTTGCCTTTACGTCTGCATCTGAACCTCCTTGTTCATCGATGATGCTTCCTAGGTATGTGAAGAACTCTACATTTTCCAGAGTTTTTCCATCAAAAGTGATTGCATTGTAGTTTTCCGCTTCGAATTTGAGGACTTTGGTTTTCCCTTTGTGTATACTGAGGCCTACTGATGCAGAGACTGCTGCTACACTGGCTGTCTTCATCTGCATCTGTTCGTGTGTACGTGGTAGGAGGGCTAGGTCATCTGCGAAGTCCAAATCGTCTAATTGATTTCGAGCTGTCCATTGAATTCCGTGTTTTCCTTCAGATGTCGAGGTCTTCATAATCCAGTCGACCACCAGAAGAAAGAGGAAGGGAGAGAGTAAACAGCCTTGTCTGACTCTGGTCCTTACTTGGAATGCATCTGTCAGCTGTCCTCCATGCACGACTTTGCACTGTAGTCCGTCGTATGAGTTCCGGATAATGTTGACAATCTTAGGAACCCCGTAGTGTCGAAGAAGTTTCCATAATGTCCTCCTATCTACACTGTCGAATGCTTTTTCATAATCAATGAAGTTGATGTATAGTGATGAGTTCCACTCAACTGATTGTTCGACGATGATCCGTAGTGTTGCAATTTGGTCTGTGCATGATCGATCCTTACGGAATCCAGCTTGTTGATCTCGAAGTTGGGCGTCTATTGCATCTTTCACCCGGTTCAGCAACTCTCTGTTGAAGACCTTCCCTGGTATTGACAGCAGTGTAATGCCTCTATAGTTTTCACATTTGCTCAGATCTCCTTTCTTTGGAATCTTGACGAGGTGCCCTTCTTTCCAGTCCATCGGCACTTGTTCCTCCTCCCAAATCTTTTTGAATAGAAGGTAAAGCATGTTTGTAGTTGCTTCGATGTCTGACTTCAGTGCTTCAGCTGGTATGTTGTCCGGTACCACTGCTTTCCCGTTCTTGATTTGTCTGATGGCCATTCTGATTTCTTTCTTCGTTGGTGGGTTGACGTCTATGGGAAGATCTGTGTGTGCCGCTTCGATGTCCGGTGGATTCATCGGAGCCGGCCTATTCAGGAGTTCCTCGAAGTATTCTACCCATCTGTTCCGCTGTTGTTGAATTTCGGTGATTGGCTCGTCTTCTTTGTCTCTGACCGGTCTCTCTGGTTTACTGTATTTCCCTGCTAGTTTCTTCGTTGTATCGTGAAGCTGTTTCATATTTCCTTCTCTAGCAGCTTTTTCTGCCGTCGTTGCTAGTTCTTCCACGTATTTCTTCTTGTCGGCTCTAATGCTCCTCTTCACTTGTTTGTTTGCTTCTATGTATTCAGTTTGTGCTTGGACTTTTTCTGCTCGTGTTCGGCTGTTGTTTATTGCTGCCTTCTTGTTCTTCCTTTCTTTGATCTTGTCCAGTGTTTCTATAGAGATCCATTCCTTATGATGGTGTTTCTTTAGACCCAGAACCTCTTGACACGTTAAAGTTAATGCTTCCTTGATGCCTTTCTAGTTGTCCTCCATACTAGTTTCTTCTTCTTTCAGTAGATCTTGTAAGGCTTGGAACCTGTTGTTGAGAGCTATCTTGAATTCATTGAGTTTGTCAGTATCTCGAAGGAAGGCTGTATTGAACCTTTGTAGTGCTGTTTGTCCACTTGTCCAGTTATTTTTTAGCTTCAGTTTTAAATTGGCCACAACTGGGTGGTGATCTGAAGATACGTCAGCACCTCTCCTGGTTCTCACTTCTTCCATTGTCCTTCGGAATTTTTTGTTGATGCAAATATGATCTATTTGGTTCTCTGTAGGGTGGTCCGGTGAGATCCATGTAGCCTTGTGTATACGCTTGTGTGGAAATATTGTGCCTCCTATGACCAATTTGTTGAATGCACATAGATCTGCAAATCTCTCTCCATTTTCGTTTCTTTCTCCCAGTCCATGTCGTCCCATAATATCTTCATATCCAGTGTTGTCTATTCCGACTTTGGCATTTAGATCTCCCATCAGAATAGTTAAGTCCTTTCTTGGGCATTTCTCAATGACTGACTGCAGCCGCTCGTAGAACTGATCTTTAATGTCGTCGATGCTATCATTTGTGGGTGCATAACGTTGGATAATATTCATTAAGATCCCCTCCTTCTTTGTTTTGAATGTTGCTTTGATGATTCTGGATCCGTGAGATTCCCATCCTACAAGTGCATTTCGTGCTACTTTGGACAGCATAAGAGCGACTCCCTGAATGTGCGGAGCATTTTCCTTTTCGTGACCGGAGTATAGCAGCATCTCTCCCGTAGCTAGCCTTTTCTGTCCAGCTTGGGTGCAGTGGGTTTCGCTGATTCCCAGTACTGCTAAGTTGTATCTCCTCATTTCCATTGCTATTTGACTGGTCTTCCCGGTTTCCCACATTGTTCGAACGTTCCATGTACCTATAAAAATTTTTGCTCTGGTTGTTAGAAGGGGCATCGGCCTCATGGCTTCTGAAGGAACTCGGCTTTCACCATGAAGTGTCATAATTCTTCTAAATGAAGACCTTCTAACTCCCAGGGCAGAATTTAAATGGTTTGGATTATTTTTTCTGGTAAGCGTTTTTTTAGCGAGTCAGTTTTCTACGGGATGGGGATTCTTCCAAAAGGAGTATTTTACTTTTATGGAATTAAATCCATATAGACGATATTGCATTATACAAGTATGTTATTAAATAGAGATAGTTTTCGATTGTTTTAAAACATAATAGTTTATTCTTTTATTAGATCTAAATTACATTTCCGAACGTGTTTTAGTCATTTTGTCCAATAATGATCTGGATCATGTAAATTGGTCTCACATTCTTCAACTGATATCTGTTATGATTACATGTAATAGAGGAGGTGTATCCACTGTTAAATGTAAGTTTGTTTCATGTAATTTATGTATATATTTATATATTTGTATATGTCTGGAGCTTTAACCGAATTTCAAACCAATGGTGCACATTGGCTCCAGTATCCTGCGGGAACAATTGGCGTATGAACCAATTGTTGGTCACCGGCTTCCATGGGACTGCACTTCATTACGATGCTACACTGCCTTGTGGATCAGACTTTCAGGTCGAAGGCTCAGGGAGTGGCCTCGTAAGAAAACCACCTGTTTCGATTCAGGCACCCGGGCAGTATCACAGCCCTCACACATGTCGAATGAGATCTGTGTGGCGCATATGTATATGGTGCCTCCTTGTACCAATATCTATGTGTTAAAAATAATAAATAATAAAATTTGTATGTGCAAAATGGTGACTTAATTAATAAATTACAAACTATGATGTTTAATGTCTGAGTTATTGGAATATCCTATTTTCAACAATCATCAACAGGTTCATATACTTCTCTCCTTCTCTCTCTCTTTTTGCTTCGGTCTAAACAACTGAATGCTTGTATACACACAAAATATGATACAAATGCTAATATATAAGTTTGTAATTAGTTGTTAAGTAACGATTATCTAAATTATTTTATTTCACAAAAATATAAGGGGAAAGTGCTTTCTGATAAAAAGTAAATTTTATAGGATCTCAGAATAGAATTACATTGGTTTAAGTTTTGTCATACTACTTTAGAATAATGGGGATGGACTGAATAATATAAAGAGTGAAGGAGTTAAACTCGTAGTAATAGTAATATCAATGACACAAAGAAGGATCAAATATAGTGAATATCATTTTTATTAAAAGGATGAGAATCACGAACTAAAGTATTACGCGTCGTGGTAATCGGTGTTTAGGCGTACGTAATACGTAGCCCAACCATCTCAGTCGATGAAGATTCACAACCTCATCAACTGATTTGGCATCATTTCCTAATACCTTACATCTAACCTCACTATCACTTGTCCGGTGATCCTAGCAGTTAGGTGATCAAAAATGTTTATACAGAGTATAATTTTCGTTAAAGTTACAAATGATTGATCATGTTACGTATCAGACAATGCTCAAGCCTACAAGCTCCACATGTATATTTTTTCATTCTGCAAGTTATAGTAAGGCTTAGTGGTGGGGATTTGAATTCCACTGGGTGGATCATTTCCTTCAATATCTCACTTGCGCCTTGATGATGTGTGCCGACTAACACAAAGCCTGTGTTCATGACAAACTAAAGCAATAGAGATATGGATAAGTTTACCGAAAAATTTGTCGTAGAAGGAGACAGTTATACTTACTCATTCGCTAAGGTGCTCCGTCATCAATAATTGTGTCCAATGATATCTTAGGGCAGATCCCAAAACTTTATTAACCTTTGTAAACTTGAGTCACTTGTGACGTGGGTAAGATTTCCATCTCTCAATCGAAGAGCTAGCATACTTCTCAGGATTTCTTCTCGTGTTACTGTATGGCTGTGAAACGTAGTATTGTAAATGTGAAAATATTAGAAGCTACAGGTTTACGAACATATGCATATTCAAAGTATTGCTTTTGTATGGTTAAAAAGCTGAGGGAGCAATGTTTAGGCAAAGATAAGGAACTTGTAAAAGCCGACAAATCGGTTGACAAGGTTGCAAATCTTGATCAACTGAAGTGATTAAGATACTACCTGGTTGTCTTCAGTTCGATAACCTCAATCAATGGTTAGAGACGTTGAGTCACATAGCTCAGACTCGATCACAACGGTACAGATGCACTTAAGATGTTTTACTCTAGATCACGAATTTTAGTATCACTCCATATTTACTATAACATTTCGCCATTTTCCAACCATAGTCTTGATCTCCAATGTTTCTCATTATTATTATTCCTTTCCAGTTATGATTCATCAACTTCTATTGTCATTATTCAATTCAAATATGAATTATATCAACAATGATAATGTTGATTTAGATTGTTTACATTTATTAGATGATGTATTTATTCATAAAAGTCAATTGGATGTTTTAAAATCAAACAAACATGATAAACAATTACTTATAGGAGTTTTATTAATTGCACGTCAATTATGCTCAGAAGATAATCGATTAACTGGGATAAATTATAAACAATGGTGGATGGAAACGTTTTCTAATCCATTACTATCAACACATAATAATACACAGAATGTTCTTTCATCACGTTGTGCTGTAGTTTATTTTTGTGATTTACTCATTGGACTATTACCTTGGGAAACAGATCCAAAATTTCTACAAATTCAAGTCAACACTCGACCTAATTGGTTTAATCCTGTAAAACGTTCAATGAATAATAATCGAATCAAAATTCATACTGACAAAATTCGTGTAAAACCGACTGAAGTAATTATGTCATTCAATGAAGATGAGTTAATAATGCCGATTGATTTGGAATGTACAAATATGATAACTGATAATCATAATCATAATACCTACATAGAATCTTGTATAAATCGATGGAATGATTATTGTGAAATTGCACAAGGAAGGTTAGCTGAATTAAGGGTAAGATGGAATACTTCTTGGTTAGATGATACAATGATTATGTATGTTAATCACGTTAGCACTTATCCTTTCAAATGTACTAGACCTCTACTAGGTATTATGAGTTAAAATGGTTTAGCTAATAATAAACTGGAATATTTTATATATTGCATATGAGAACTGATCAATAACCGGACCTGGGCATTGTTGATTGTTGGGACAAACGAATTGTAATAATGATTGGTCTTGTTTTGTCATACTTCCAATTTCATTTTGGCAATTAAAATATTCCTATCCTATATTATGTTTTAATAAACTAAACCTCAGGATTTCAATGACAGTTTCGATTGGTTATTTGTTTGTCTTTATTTCAATCCTTATCAAATGCTTGTCAGTCAGTCAGCTACAACGTGGGACCAGGCGCATATATGCATTGGTCCATGTTGCTATACCGCGCAGTATACTTGTCCTTTAATTGATAGACGGCTATCTTGCCTTCGCCATAGGTGACGTAATTTGGCAAAAGCCAAACGAGCTTTTTGAATCCGTGCTGAGATTTCGTCCGACAGCAACCCATTAAGGATGATCAAAGCTGTAGTAAACAATCGTTGCACAGATTACACATCATTTGCTAATCAAGATTAAATTGTTTAGTTTTTAGTTCTGATAAAAGCTTATCGATCAAAGATGTTTATACAAAGTAGGTTCTTCGTTAAAGTTACAAATGATCGATCATGTTAAGTATCAGACAATGCTCAAGCCTACAAGCTCCACATGTGTATTTTTTCATTCCTTAGGTTTCGATGAGGCTTAGTGGTGCGGATTTGAATTCCACTGGGTGGATCATTTTCATCAATATCTCACTTACCCCTTCATAATTAGTGCCGACTAGCACAAAGCCTGTGTTCAGGGTTTCCTACCAAATGCCCTTAATCATTATCAGTAAATTTTGATGTGTATCTGTATATTATTGCATTGCGGTTTCGCCGACAGCGTATTTCGATTAATTGGGTATTATGACTTTCCATATTGATTAATCAAAACAGAGAACCTTTTTACTTTTTGTAAAGAACGTTCTTAATTCCAAGCATGTGTAGAGAATCTCATTCTACTCAAATCAAAACTCGACTTTCACTTGTAAGTTTACAGACTTTAACCACACCTTATCTACTTGAGTTTAGTTCGATTGTAGCTGCCACGTTTAAGTCTTGGTCTGATTTAACTATTGTTGAGATTTGACTGAACTATATTGGCTAGAATATTTATTCCTTTGTATCCTACCATTCCAGTCTGGTCGATTGGAATGTGATAATACTAGAAAAAGCTGCTTAACGTCCGAAGGTAAAATCGTACGGCTAACTATACTGGGGAGTGGTGGCAATAAAACAGTTTTCTCAGACGAACAGTGTCTACAGTGATGCTGTCTTCTTACAACTGGAGGAAAGTATTAGAGAAAATCAATACTCGAAATATCACACTTCACCTTGCCCCATGGATCTTTGTATTCGATCGTAAGACTTTGAAAGTCAGAGCTAACACATCAAGAACTACTCATAAAAAGCACTGTATAAATCATCTTAAGCGTTGCTTCTCAAGCACTGCGGTCACAACCCGAGGTAGCTAAGTCAGATAACTCAAACAGAAGTACTTTTCCACTGTATGAGCAGCCGAGAAGTGTCAACTGTCCCCCTGCACTTCTAACAGTACTTCTTGATTTCGTTTAAGCTCGTTGTAGTTGGTGTCTGTAGCTCTCGCATTATAAAAGCGTGACAAAGTTAAACAGATGTGTACTTGTTTACCTAGTTCACTCAGTCAGCTACGACGTAGAACTAGGGATATATATGCATTGGTTCAAGTTGCCATACCTCATTAGCACAACAAGGTGAACACCGAATTCATAAAAGCAGTAACTATAATGATAGTAAAAAGGCATTTCATATAAGGATATGAGTTTATTTAGTTTCGTAATATTTTGTTTTTTCACCAAGCATATACCAGTTATTGTCTCATCAATGAATCTTTTAGAAAACTGGTTATCTGTTTCAATCTTTGCATAGTGTTTCTCTTTTAAGAAGTAGAAATTTAATGGGAAATACTTATATGTTATTGTTCAGTTTATTAGTTCAGTACGACTAATACGACTTCAGTACTTCAACGTGTTAAACTCTCAATCTCCGAGTCAAAAGGCAGAAAAAAACAGAAGAGTTTGCTGAAGTAAGCGTGAAAACGTGCAGAAAAATAGGTGTATATATAGTTTTTGGTATGGATTGTAACATCATTGTAATCTAGCTAATCTGCGAGCCGGAAGTTTTTGCAATTTTTCTATCACAGCAACCCACGTCGATATTCCAGGAGACTCCATTGGACTGTGACTGAATGGAATCTCTTCAGCCCCCATAGAGCCTCTGGAGTCTTTGTCGCGCCTTCTAGGAGCTCTCCTAACAGTCACTAGATTTTCCATTTAGGGATCTACTACTCACATTAGATAGGTATTCCATTGATGGTTGCAGAGGCAATATGATTTGCTATCACCTACCTGTACATGCTATATTGAGTGTAGAACCATTTAGTTGTAACGCATAAGCTTAGTATAATGGCACCAATAATCGCGCTACACAAGAATACAACGTACACTTGCAATGTTCGGATTTACTTTATCGATTGGATCTACACTTTTTGTACAAATACTGTGTTATGGCTTCCGTCTCTGTCGATTATCATATGACAAAATCGCCAGTCAGAATATCGATTTCTATGACCCTGATTCAACTATGAATCCTTATTGGTCCCTAATATAGTAAGTCCTTGCCTGACCCATCCTGTTCAATCCAAAACACATATATAATCCTTCACTGTATGAATCGTATATTTCATATACAAGCGGACGAGATCGCATAACATCATAAACTGAGACCCAAGGTAATGGGTTCGAGTACTGCGTGCGAGACCGTGGATGCATACTTCCGAGAAGTCCTATACTACGACGAAACGTTTGCCCAGTGCTCAGTAGTGGCCTAACATTGATCGGTTGATGATCTCAATCAAAAATTGACACCCGATACAACCCTATACTGATGAAATGAAGAAATAATTACACAAGATCAAGCCAATAGTGGTTGCGAGTGTGGGAGATCGTGACTAATAAATTGGGAGTAAATTAGGAGTGGTAGATCGGATGATAGTAGCTAGTAGGTCAAATGAAGGCTTATGACAAGGAATATGAATATACACATAATCTAGTTACCTAATAATTGTCCAGTAAGAATATGCATAATAATATTACATAAATAATCTCTAGTATTTTCTATTCACTCATCCTTCGTTCGAATGTAATGGATTGCTTAAACTATAATAAGGGGTAGCTAAATCAAAATGTCTTACAAATTTATCAAATTGTTAAATTTTGGTCACAGCCGTTTAAAGAGATACAGACTTCCCAGTTTGAATGCTTGAGATTTCCATAATTGATGGTTATAAACTTTAGGTAACATGACTCGAAGTTAGTTACACTGTCACAGTGACCAGCTGTGGTCGTGCGGTGTATTTGTGGGTCAAACGGTGAAATGGTAACGTCTATGGACGATGTAGGTCCAAACTCCAAAAAAGTAGTAATATCCTGAGGTTTGGAAAGACTCCTTGTATTTGAATAACCAGTGCTTCTTATCGAATACCTCTAACTGCCTACCATCAAGTTAGATATTTGACAATATACAGTAACTGTAGTCTGTTGACCATATTTCAACTTGATCAGTAGAGTTTCATCAAAACTAAAGATCAAACAACCATAACATTATAAGTGACCACTTAATACAAAAGTTAAGTATTTTATTGTTTTATTGCTTTGTTGTTGGGGTTGGGTGACAACAGTCCACGTTGGCTTCGATCTACACTGATTCCAGCTTTATTAAATGCACCTGAAACAGAACATTTATCAGACGAGTTAAAATTTGCACGTGAACAATTATTACAGGGGATACGTTCAGCTGGTCTATCACATTTATTGAATCATACAAAAGAAAAAACCTCTACCACAAAGATGATTACAAAAACAACAACAACAACCAAGAGGAAGAAGAAACGGCCAACTTGTACTACACAACGATCTTCAACATCTAAACAATACAGAATGTCTAATAAAAGCGAATTCTACAATGAAACAAATAAAACTTGATAGCCGTACAATTAATACTTTAAACGAACTAGATAAAAAAGCTGAAGAGATTGAGAGAGGAAAAATAAGAATACAGTAACTGATAACTTTATTATTCTTATTATTTATTATCATCATCACAATAATAAATAGAACAGATTCAATAAATGAACAAAATTACGCTGAATGAACCTTGCAATGAGCTCAGTAAACTGACAATGTTTAGTAGTTTGTTATAACAGAGTATTTAGTGACTGTATACTTCAACAATAAGAGTAATACTGTAAAAGAAAGTAAGGTATGTCGATGAGATCGTTTATTGTCAGTATAGGGTTGTGGAGATTGTTGAATTCCATTAAATTCACGAACCAATCAGAGTTAGACAATCATTGGAAATTTGGAAGCACTGGATGACCGTTTTTTTCTTAGTATGGGGCTCCTCAGCAATGCACATCCACTAATCTTCAAAGAAGTCATACATTGAGATAATGGAAATTTGTAGCTTAGGTGGATGGTTTTCATTGTGTTTTGTTCTCTGAGCTGGATGGTTTGATCGTGGAGCTTTCATCGTCCTTCTGAACGACATCAGCACAAACTTCAGATAGAAGTGAAGTGTTCGAACTAATAAACGTCGAGGTTTACAGAACAAGCTGTGAAACGCATATGGAGAAATTCGAACAATTCCCTTCTATCTGAAGTTTGTGCTGATGATGTCGTTCACAAGCACGATGAAAGCTCCACGATCAAACCATCCAGCTCAGAGAACGAAATTTAATCGAAGTCATACATTATTTCATTGTGTAATAAGTGAGTATGTATTGTACTGATGTACCGGTGTGATATGACAACCCAGATTGGTGCACATATGTGTCAGGTTACAAGTTGCACTCAGTCAGTCAGTAACAACGTTGCACTTGAGTGACAGGTTACCGCGAATATACAAAACAAAGTCAATTTGTCAAATATTTTTCTTTATAAAAAATGCTATAGATAAATATATATTTATGTACACATACTTAGAACAATGTAGTCGTATTCTTCAGATATTGTATATGATTAATGTATTTCAATGAGTTTGAGATGGATAGAAAACAGTGTCCACTTCTATTCAAATTGGGAACTTGTATCATAGAAAGTTGTCCATTAATCATCACCATTCATTCTTCAACTGACTTAAGTAAACATTCTCTGACGGTTGTTTAAATTCAATTAAATTATCACAGATCATCAATCGACGTTTTTCAAATACCCAACGTTGTAACCATTGAATTGGCCAATAAAATATAATCCATATACCAATGTAAAAGATATATGCCCATTTTAATCTATGAATAAATGGTGTTTCAAATCTGATTTCGCATAGATTTTGGAGGAAAAACAATTAAGGAAGCGTATTGACAGACTGTTATTTAAAACATGTTGTTCTGTTGCGCCGTGCCAAATACCGTGGTTCGGTCGAGAATGAGGAAAGTCGACTCTCATTCGTCGATGCGTTTATAGTCCTACACACTACCTTTCCGCTTTCGAGGTGTCGTTTTCGGAAACAACAGGACAAAACGTGAACGTCCAACGTTTATCAGGTTGATGGAGATTGAGAGTCTACTTAGGGTAATTGGCAAATCCGGAAGGCAATGTTTATCCAGGTAGAGCTCAAGGATCCAACCTACTTTGGACACTGACTACTATGAGACGCGATCCCCTGACTTTGCCTCACTGCGTTATGGATAGGGAGTTCTGTTCAAGGGCTTTGGGAGTGATCCTCCAAGAAAACCAACGGTTCGGGTACTCGGCTAGTATCCTAGCACAGACCATTATCATTTGTGTGGTGCATATTTAGTTTTGGTGCCCATTCGTGTTAGATTCTATCTGAATTAAATAAATTGATAGTCGTTGTAGTGCGCGCACACGGGTCAAATCTGATATTTGATGCACCGCTGTACATTTATAAAAAATGTCAGAAACAAGATCTTGAGTTTGAATCCCTTGGTAGTCGAGCTTTATTTGTAGTCAAACAATACTGAACACTAACAATGTGTTATATTTCATTCAACGTTTTCAACCTCCTTTTGTATGTATTGCATCGAGATGCCTAACAAAGGAATCTGTATATATGGTTTTAAGTAAAAATTAATGACTTTAAAATGATATATTTTTTAACGCTACAGGAAGAAAGGAGGTAATTCATCTGGACCCGTTCTGCTGCATGTCACCTAACACCTTCAGCTATTGATCACTACAATCGGTTGGACACTATTCAGATTACCTGGATCTACTAATGTGGCTCAGACCATCAGTTATTGGTTTAGGAAATTGATGTCTCCTTGTAGTTCATCTGCCACTAGCTTCTATCCAACTCACTCTTACGACGACCAATATTCTACGCTGAGGAGTTATTGAGGATGTGTACCACATGTTGCAGTCACCTCAGTGGACGAAAATTCACAATCTTATCAATATACTTATTATCCCTGCTTGGTACCCTGCGTCTACCCTCAGCATCACTTACTCGAAAACCATACATCTGCATCATATTGAATTGCCATCTAGGGTCTTCAATTACAAATCATGGCTATGAAGTCTTCATCTCCTGATACAGTTATGATCATTAGTTAAGATGGTTTTGTGAACTCATTCCATCACTTGTTTTGAAAACATTATACATGATGATAATAATAAATGATATATATATATATATATATATATATATATATATATATATATATATATATATATATATATATATATATATATATATATATATATATATATATATATGCATGATGAAAACATTAAAAGGATACAATAGTTCTTGCTCTGGAAGATTTATTACCAATGTAATATGAAATGATTCTGATGGTTGGGCACCTGTTTCGCTAGTTGACATATAATAATGTGTTTTTCCGAGATGAAGGGTCACTAAAAATGAGAAGGAAATAAACTAGGTAAATTGAATTATGTGGAGTAGTGTCTTAATAGTTGAGGTGTTCGTTCGGCGTTCTTTCACTTAATCCTGAGTCGTAACCCTACTTCAACCTGAGTAACCGATTGATATCATTAGCCTTGACACTTAGAGTACAGCTCATATCCAAGTATATGATGAAGGGGTACATTATTTGATCAACATCCTATGTACAGTGATACTTGGTTGGTGCTTTTAGTTTGATTGTTCTACTCGGGTTGTTCACAAAACTTAAGCGTGGATAATAATGAATGTCAGTTCTGATTTTGTTCAGCATATACTAACTGAAAGTTGAAATATGTGAAAGTTTTGTTGACGATGGTAGACTGCAAAGATTTCGGTCTGTATGTCACTCCAGTGTTTAATGACTGTTATTCAAAAGAAGAGAATTTATGTTACAATATTTCTTGAAACCCTGTCCAAGCGTGACGGAACTTTTAAGCTGTGTTTTTGTACAGTTTATCCTACATTTCAAACAAAGATGGGTTACGTAAGCCGTTTCACTATCTACGTAAACTTGTACTGGAGACAAAGCGTATGAATGACTTAACTCACATAGGACATCAGCCCATGATCATTTGAAGTAGTGTATGGTTTTTTCTTTCAACCATGTATTGATTTTCACATGAACATTTTCTTCATTTACTCAATCTCTTAATTTTGTGTTCATGTGAAAACGTTTCATGTGCAACCGTTGCACAGCTGTACGGAGATTCGGCATATTTATTCTGAATGTAAGCATATGTCTAATAGAGTTCGTTAAACTGAAGTGACAAATAGTTTTTCACTTGGAGTACATTTCGCTGATGTCACCGAGTAATAAATCCTAATACTATGTCGCTCTAATCCTTAGCACTGAAAAGATATCATCGATCGAGTTCTAACGCGCGGTCTCTAGTTTAATTGGATTGGGACTACGAGACATTTTGATGAGTGCCATGTAATTGCAAGTAGTCAACAGGAATTAATGAGGTTAAGCTTTATATTAGTTTGGACTTGTTAGCTAGGTGTATCAAAACTGCACGCTATTTGGCAATTTAGATCAGGGTTCACGTTGTAACTTGTTCGATTTCATTTGACTATCACTAAGATCTAAACAGGCATGTGTTATTGATTACTCTTCTCTGACTAAATAACTTGATATCTCAGTCGCGCCCAGACACCAAGTGCGGTGTAAATGTCCCAATAATAGTGCTTTCAACTTGGACATAAATTGACGCACACTCGTTCCCCATAAAAAGCGTCTATTTCCATGGGATTGCAGATACAGGGAACGTCAGTTCTGACGATATAACTAGCAAAACGTGCTGAGGAGTGTTGACTAGCATGAAAACTGAGCTCTCCATTCCCTGCCGACTACCGCCAATCATCTAATTTGCAAACATAGTGCACCTGTTGCCAGGTAATTCAGACAAGTGACAACACATTGAACCAATCCATGATACTTAGATGGAATATATTCTTTCTCAGTAAAGTATAATTATCAAAATGAAGCATTAATTTATAGTCTGTTCCAGTTCATTTAATGGGTGAAATAACGATCACTGCTATTCATTAGCTTAATGTGACTAACAAATTTCTTCACATTTGTAATGATGTCGGTAATTGGTTTAGCTGAAGTCTTACTCATCTCTGTGAAGCCATACTATAAACAGCATAACTTGTGTGTTTTCTAGAACCTATTTATCAACTAACTTTTGCTAAGTTAAACTGAGATTGAAATAAAACTATTCAAAGCCTCTTATAATAAACAATCCTCAATATTTATCAGGTCTAATGTGATTCAATTCAACAGTTTTATACTGATAACAAGTTTTATATATAAACTGTTTTGTAGTTTATTTTGTAGAAGAAAAACTTACAATTTCTATCTAACATATCATACATTGCATTGTTGATGTTAGAAATCATTGAATTATAACGTACAGTATTCATATTCATTACAGGTCTCTATAAATTGAAAAGAAAATCCATTATATATGTGCATTAGTGATAAAATGACAAATATAATGTATGTAATATTTCCAAGCCTTATTCACAAATGTTCAACAACTAAAAAACACTTGAAAATCACGGTTGTTCTTTTGTCCTAAAACTCTTCTCACTACTATGTGTATCCAAAGCCTTTAGGTCTCGACATGAGAATAACACCCTTGAGCTGAATTCAAATCCAGTAGTCCATCCATAGTTCTGACTGATAGGCTGACTGGGTATGAACATGTCACGTGTCTAAGCATGTTCGCTCTCTCAAGGTCGGGCGTATGGAGTATAAGTTGGTGCATATATTTCACTATCTTAATGTACTAAAAATTATATATATTATCCAGTACTGTTTCATCATGTTTCTCATAAGGTTAACTCAAAAGAGTTCGATGGTAACTCCTACCTTGATGTGGTGGTCGACTTTGTCGAGCTATATTGGCCGGAATACTTGTTATTTTGAGCCCTACCAGCCCAGAAAGCTCAACTAGAGGGCAGTAAGACTAAAAGCCAGTTTAAGGTCAGAGAGAAGAATCGCAAGGAGACATGTAGACAGTAAAGTGTTTTACTAAAATAACCAAGATTCGTAGCGACGCTACCTTACCACAGCTGAATGAGGGAGATTAGTAAAGGTCGCTTCGAAAAGTATCATGCCATACCTTAACCTCACAGATTGTCATCTCTAACTGTAAGAGCTTTTAAAGTACGCAGCTAACACATAAAAAGCTTCGCACAAAATGGTTGTGACCGGCTTTAGGCAGTTGCTCCTTATAGATTTATTAACAGTTGTTCTTGAAGTTCTTCGGTCATCCTCTCAGGTCTTCATCACCACCCCTAACCCAATTTACTTCTGAGGTCTCTTAAGAAATGTTCCATTGTGTGGGCAACCGCGAAGTGACAACCGACCACACACTTCTCGTAGTTATCGATATTATCTTTAACTAAAATAAAAGGGAATCCATCACGTTTGATATTCCGTTCACAGTTTCGTTTGCTGTAGAAACCAGGAAGCCATACGTTATGAGTGAACGTATTAAGATCTAAAGTGATGTAACAGATATAGATAAAGTAATCATTTTGTGTTCCTGTCTCGTCTTATTCTGATAAGTTATACTACCTTGACTATTTTCCATAACTAAATGGGGTTTCAATCCCTTGACATTTTCAATCAGTTGGTTGATGACTCGTAGTGGTTTTCGTTGTTATGCTATCAGTTAGGGATTTTGTGTTCTGTGAGTCAGATGATTTAGTTATGCAGCTATCAGTGTGTTCCTAGACAACGAAATTCAAATAATTGACAATATGCAGTTTACTCTTGGTTACTTATTTGTAACTCTAGTTTTTATGAGTCATTCACTTACCATGTAGTACTTCTTTTCTATTGGATCCATTCCGTGCAATTGAATAGATTGTGTTTGCTTTAGAGTTAGTTCACTTTGAATAAATAAATCAGTCATTGACGTTTGCGAAATGAATTCACTCCATATTAATCCAGTGACGTTCATTGAGAACTCATTATTGTTTTCCTAATAAATGTTTTGTTTTTGAAAAAACGAAAAAATTATAAAATTTTCCCAAAGGAAGGTCTAATAATACATTGTCGTTTAAATGCTTTCAGTCTCATACTAAAATCTTTTAAACATTTCTTCTTTACGAATCTTGTATACACAAATTCCCGAAGGACATCAACAGGATACATGAATAGTAGTATAATAGAAAAAGTGTAACGCGTCAAATATTATTTTGTGTGACAGGTTTGCATGTATCACCTTGTACTGGCACACAACGACATTTCAATCTATCTTTCCGTTTGATTTTTCTAGGTTATTCATTACGTTCAACATCAAGACTGGTGGCTGAGTAACATGTCGTGCGTTTTTAGTGAAGGAAAACCACTTGAAACCATTTATAGTTTAGATCGAAAGACGCTAACATCAATTGATTGTTGCATATAACACTGACTAAACGTGTTTTTGTAAGTTAATCCTCAGGTGGAAAAAACGTGATCCTTCCAAGAAATTCAATGTAGTTCTTGAATGCACTAAACAAGCATTAGATACTTTATCGATTTGTGTTTTCCAATCGTATGAGTTGACATTCATAACTTTAATAAAACCAGGAATCTAATTAATTGACCGTCCATGTGTGGTGCATCCATATTGTGGCGGTAAATAAATCCCTAAAATAAATTACTCTGTATGTCTTCGACATTGGATGCTGGCCACATTGATTTTAATGTACTCGCTTAGCTGAAGGCACTAGGTTATGCATTCGCACCAGATCATGAGTGAGAATACCGTGTTCAACATCCCCTGCAATCGCTAGCCAGTTTATATCAGTTTATCCTCGATATATTGTTAGCTTATCAAATATTATCTTAGCACCTTCTCGCTTCTGACTTTCGATTTCACTTAGTGGGTATGATTCATAGTAGGTGTTACCGGTTAAAGCATTGTCAAACTCCTAATACCTGTGGCATATTGGATATCAATTGAAAACACTAACAACATGTAAACTGTACAGAAACGATTATACGAAACTGAGCAGCTGGCTTGAATTTTCCTATCTTAGGATAGTGTTTCAAATCAATAATGAATGAAAAGTTACATGAGGTCTGCTGATGTGTTAGTATAATGTTTGTATAAATTTACTAAAGCTATGCGCATTTTGTCTTATTCCTTAACACTAAATGCAATCGGTTTCGCCCATAGATACCACAGTACGTTTCGTATCGATACCGTTTCGCCAACATAAAGTAATACTGATTAGCCAACATAAGGAGCATGTATAAATGGGAGACACTCATTAATTATTCTGAAGGTGAGAATCTGAAAGCTTATTCGAATAAAAATCTGTCGCTAATCCATCCACAATGTTATAATTTACAGCTATGAAACGTGAGTGGTAAAAATGTAGGACATACAAAGTGTAATTATTCGTAAACGAGTATAATACAAACACCATCTGGATGTGAAACTGACAGGTGAAAAGTAGAGTCTCATGTAAGAAGGACGGGTCAGTTCATAAAGCAACTTTTCGTTAGCCCACCAATTTGATTCAACATATGAATCGATGACAAAGTTGTTAGAGCACTTGGTTTGAAAACAATAGGTTTCAGGTTCAAAATCAAAAACATCAGAATTATAAAAAATTTCGCCAGTATATTTTGAACGACTACTAAAACGCCGATGCACATGAAGCCCCTATTGGTTCACAAGTAAAAGAGAAAAATGGATAATATGAATTACTTACTCGCAAACCACATGTTATCGGAATAAAAAGACGCTTCCCGATTATTTTGATACTGGTAACATTAAATATATAGATCGAAATCTCAGTTGCCTTATAGTATAATTTCCCGACATCTTTTGATGGCCATGGAACGGGATTTTCATAGCTGAAGTAGTTTATTGATCCAGATAGGAAGTGGTCTTCAATACTAATAAATTCATTCCTAAAAGTTACATCCATTCCAGACCAGAAGTTGGAGTTGATTTGATTTTGATCATCAGCAGTATAAATCCAAACGAATGACTGACTTATTTCAGGGAAACAGGGACCCAGATTGACAGGAATATATTTGAAATCTATCCAAATATCTACACAACAAGGTTTGGAAATATTTATCAAACTTCTCACATTTCAGGTTACAAAGGATTATAATTGGTGCGAGGAAGTGGAAGACCACGGTGATTACATAGAAAACAAATGTCTTTGACCATACAAATGCCTTGAAAACCTTTTCTTCTGGATAGTGAAAAATTTCAGTCATCGCGCTCTTGAGCGAGTGGTTAGCGACTGCTTGTTTATTGACCAAAACAAATTAGAAAAAAAGCACGTCACTTCGTTAGCAAGCGCTTTCAAAATTTGGATAATTTAGTTAATTGAAATCACAACGTTAGAAACATTTCATAAATAGAGACCCAACACTGAAGTTTAAGTGACACCAGAATTCGAATATCATTACAATGAAAAAAATTTCAACAGGAACGGTAAAGTGAGCGTTCTTTTAGATCTTCCTCTGAAGTGTTGTGGATTTCTAAAATTTTCATGAGTATATTTCATGTATTGAACTTGAGAAACAACAATATCTGATATGTTTGGCTGGGGATGAACATTTCAAGTTGTCGCAGTTTATGTATCATTGAAATCAATAGTTCCGTAGATCTTAGAACTCAATTGTCACTTCATTCGCTTCACTTCAGGATTGTGAAAAATCTCAGTCATCCCGATTTTAAGCGACTGATCAAGAATCATTTTTAGTTGTGAAAGGAATTGAGGAGGATTTTGCTCAGCGGGTTTGTATATGTGTTAGTAGTGTACAATCGATGCTTCCAGGTAAGAACATGGGTAAATTAATGATAGAAGTAAACGAATGAGTAAATTATAGATAAGTACTGAACTTAGTCCATGAGAATATGTCATGTTTTCTCTCAAAAAAATCCCGATAGAACTCTTGGACCAGCTTGATCGACAGCTTATTCCAAGATTTGACTACTCATAAGGAGTAAAAGATGTTTCTGCGCTCCATTCTGCTGTATTGTGTTTCCAGTTTCCGGGTGTAACCCCTAATGTTCGTGTTCATATGAAGCCTAAGTAGCTATCAAGGGGGATATCCAGAACTGTTTGAAATACTGTAATCCATTAGGTTACCTCTAAGACGCGAGTACCCTGATGACGTCAACCTTTCCGTTGCGATCAGTGATGGTTGTCCATCGGTGCACCGCAGTCAGAGGTGACCCCTTCTGAAAGCGTGGTGTTAGGGTCAAGAGAAGTTTATGAGTAATTAATAGTCATGTAAACCGTCACATCTCAAGGACTCCATAACGTTTGTGGGTGTGGAACGAAATGCCACTCCTCGGTAGCTTGAAGGTTTACTAGTCGACTTACTTTGAAATTTGGTGTTTTATGCATGGGCTTGGTGAATGTGAAAACATCATGCTATTGGGTTTTGCCAATATTAGGGCTACATCCCTTAGTATGACAGAATGAACAACAAATGAGCACGTGAATTGCATTTGTTTAAGTGCTACCGTTTGAAATGTTCGAGAGTACTGTTCTGATGAAAGGTCGGTGGCGTTATTGCCGTTGCCGATCGGCCTATTAGGATCTAGTAGTTGAAAAAATCTGGTTTCGGCTTGTCGAAGAGAGGCTTTATGACGAAATACGGTTTTCTGATTAAAGACAAATTTATCGGTAGATTTATCTAGTACTGAAGCCTGTCTTCTCATATTGTTTTTATGCATTGGTTTTTTGCTTATTTGTAGAACTATCTATATGTAGAACTATGGTCTTCTATGATATTAGTACTGCTCCAATGATAGATCTAATCCTAAAATTGTAGATTTGTCATGATATAACTGCCCAGTCTATAAGATCTTACGTGGAAGTCACACCATCGACTACACGAACTCACTGTATCGTATCAACTACCATTACATGATGTAGAACAAGGTTAGGCTAGAGAAGGAACAATATATTTAGTATGAATAGAAGATATAAGGTAACATTCAGAAGGGCCACGCCTGCATGTCCGAGCCATGACATTCGATCAACTCCAATTCCTTCAATTGACTGTTCCCGTCTTTTCCATCACTAGGTATTTTTCCGCGTTAAATATTGAATATCTATTTTCCGATTAGTGTTGTGTTCAGCTTTGAAGATTCTGTGGTTATGGTCCTATGCCACTACACTACTCTCCCACCAGAATCAACGTGGTGTCGGTTCGATACCAAATTGGATGGGATCGTCGCGCGCCGTAGGTTACCAAGGATAATAAGGATCCTCTGGGTATTGATAAGCAGAAAGATAAATCAAAAAGGCGGCAGCATGTGATCGGAAAATACATGTAGTAATTTTAAAATATCTGCCTTCATGCTTAACACGCTTAAAATGAAAATTTGGGCAAGGATTATTTGAAGTATAAAAAAAAGGATTACAATATTATTAATAATAATACTAATAAAACGATGCGTGTTAATAACCGTTGGTTAATAACTTAACGTATAAGTGGGAAGTATATTGTGTTTAGAAATATTAAAAGCAATCAATATTGTAGAAATGTTAATATTGGTATTAGTTTAGGTTTAAATTATGAAATCGAATAACGATTATGCCGGTAACCTGACCATATTTGATTTCCAATTGCATCTGTATTAATAGGCTAACTGAAGAACAAAAGTATTACCGTGGAGAAGAATTCTAACTAGTGTTCCAGTTAGTTTGATGTGGTTTATTCAGTTACGAGGAGATTTTCTCAACCTCATTTTTACTTGACCGTGATAGAATTTAGTAACACTACTAATACCCATGAATTGTTATCAAAACAAAATTTAAATACGTTAGTGGTAATTATGTGAATTTTGGACAGATAGCTAAGAACAAGTTGTCAAACATGAGTCTATTCGTAAGAGACACGCTCTGGACTTAATGTTCTGCGTTGCCATACACTATTTATACATATTGATACCTGCCGGCTGATGGTGCATACAAGTTAGTTGCAAGTATGCAGTTTATCATAAGGCGGAATACGATTCAATTGAGATATGGTGATTACAAGTTACTGAAACCAGTTAAGCCTATGTGCCATATTACTAAGTGATGTGCTGTAAGATGTATTCGGCTAAAAACGTTTTTACAAAATGATTAACAGTGAGTGATGCTTATGTGATTACCAGGGAGAACATAAGCTGTAACCAAGGGGAGTACACTCCCAACTCATTTTTATGATAATGGCGTGAACCTTAGTCAGTGTTGGGGTAAATTCGACATTGATGTTTTAAGTTTGCAGGAGATTTGCTCGACTGCTTATACTGATTATTTGCATGGATGATTGTGTCGCTAATCCATGAATTGGACTGACAAGGTTTTGAGATATTTAGTGAATGAGTAACTTATAGAAACATACTGTAATCATCTGTAGTGAATGAAGATAAAAGAAAAGAAACACTAGTGATAATTATAGGTCAATCTGCTGACCGACTTTGTTAATAGTTTCAATAATATTATCAATCATATTACGTGATTGTCAAGTCATGACAATGCTTTATGACGATATCCTGAAACTATTATGTTTATCTAGTTATAGTGTTGATTGAGGATTATTCAGTGGAAAAATAGGTATTGTTGCTTTAGGTCATTTGAAATAATCAGAAATGTATAACGTTAAAGAATCCGAAACGCATAATTTAATAATAAATTTCAATTCAGAAATATTTGTTTGGTGTTAATTCTAGTAGGCTCCGGAGTATTGATTTTAAGCGTTTGCTTAGCCAACAGCTACCTGAGTATTGAGTTATTTTACTAGTGCAGTTGATAGTGCCTAAATTTGTAATCTTATCATCTAAACTATGTTCGCATTTTAAGCTGCTAATATGATAAACCAATGCATAAACCCAAATACGATTAAACTATGACTAAACTATGACAATTTGAAAATAATGAACATGACCAGTTAACTAATTTTAAAGTTAAGACTGCTTGTGAAACTCCAGGAATTAATATGATACGTTATAAACATTCTATAAGAAGTCACTGCATTTAGCCTAGGGACACTTAAAAATATATGGCATAAGCAACTGGAAAACATATACATGTTAAGTACAAAAAAATCATTCAGTAAAATAATTGAACTCGCCTGGGTTATTTTCGAAAATTAGATTATTCAGTGGATGACATATATAACGCCATTCGTGAGGAGTAGTAGTGATCCAAAAGTATCCAGAGTAAAGCATGCGGTATGGCAATTTATTCTGAGGTGCTTGATGCTGTTGACGTGTTTGCCACTCGTTCGGATCAGAACAATAGAATGAATCCAGATAATTGTGTGTTCGCCATTGAACGAGCCATGCCATTCGATCAACTCCAATTCCTTCAATTGACTGTTCCCGTCTTTTCCATCACTAGGTATTTTTCCGCGCTAAATATTGAATATCTATTTTCCGAGTAGTGTTGTGTTCAGCTTTGAAGATTCTGTGGTTATGGTCCAATGCCGCTACATAGCCTTATGACGAAATGCGTTTTTCTGTTTAAAGACAAATTTATCAATAGCTTTATCTAGTACTGAAGCCTGTCTTCTCATATTGTTTTTATGCATTGGTTGTTTGCTTATTTGAATTGCCTGTACTCACTGTTGTCACCACGTCGTTTGTATTCTGCCTAATGATGCCTTTCGTGGCTTATTAAACGAAGACTGCGAATCTCGATAACTGTCAATTGCTTCTTGTTTTTCGGGAACGTTTGCGAAAGAGACTGCTATATAGCACCAAGAAATCACGATGAGCGTCCTCATCAAGCTGAAATTGGACTTTCCAGCTCATCTGCTGTGGGTTGTCCTGTAAAGCAAACACAACCGACCGTTTGAAATTCTAACGCTTGTTGTTGATGAAAGGCTATGTCCAATTTTACTCAGGCCAGCCAAGATAGAGCGGTTTTTAATTAGGAATTCTTCGTTTGTAATTAAGCGGTTCAAGCGTGACGATGTGTGGCTATTTTTTCATTTGATTTCTTCAAATAACCCCAGATCTCCGACGAATTAGAAGCGCCGAGCTTCACTAGAGTTTAACCTTCAGTGTATGTAAGTTAAGCGAAGTCGACTTTATGAATTTCGAAGTCTCCTAAAATCAGAATACGAGTGCATTGAAGACAAATAACACAGGGTACGCCTTCCGGAATTCGACTTTCTTACTCGATGTCAACAGTGGGCTTTCTGTAGTAGACTCCAACTAGACTAGTCGTGGTGTTAGATAATCTTACTGAACACCGTACAAATTCATAAAGATTGATAAACTCTTCGGTGTATACTTGATGTGGCAGC